CAGAGAAACCCTGTCTTGTAAAACCAAAAAAAAAAAAAAAAAAAAAAAAAATTAGTTCAAACTGAAGAAATTGAAATGGACTCTGCCTAATTTATAGTGCAAGTGTGGACGCTGAGTAAAGAAACCTTATTTCTAATAGCTCCATTACTTCAGAATAGCCATGAAAGAGTCCTAACTATACAGTTATTCACTCAACTTGTAGTGTTGGAGACGGTCAAGTGATGGCATCCCTGAACCAACTGTATTGTTTTTTGTGAGTTAATGAAAATAAAATTGTTTGATTCTGAAAAAAAGTCCCAGATAGACAGGAGGTATATTTTCCCAGGGCAGCTGTATTTTAAGGAATCCCTTTAAGACTGGCAAGGGAAGGCAGTAAGCTGGAGATCGGGAGGGCTGATGATCAAGCTGGAGGTTGCTGGCAATCCCTTTCCTTCCTCAGAGCAGAGTTCTGCTCTAGTCTAGCCACCCACTTACTGGACGAGACCCATCCACTCAGGCTACTGGCTGAAATTAAACGTCACCCAGACGACTTCCAGAAACATCTAGAATGAAGTTGGACTATGAAGGCCTCTGGCAGGTTAGGCTGCTCTGTGATGTTCCTCTTACCCTTTACTGCTGCCTTTGGTTTTTGGTGCTGGGGACTTAGCGACAGGCTAGTTAACGCATGCTCAACAGCCTTGCTGCTCTCCTTTTGATGCTGGTGACCAGCGTAGTTCCAGACAGGGCTGCTGCTGGATTTGGCTCTGTTGCTCTAATACAGAGGGGAGGGGGCGGGGTTTCGAAGGTCTCAAACCCTTCCAGAGCGTGAGTCTCAAATTGTGCCTGACTTCCAATTGTCCTTTACCCAGTTGGAATTTTTACTATGTGGAAGGGTTATGGTGGAGGGGACTGGTTCAGTCAGACTCTTTTTTTTTTCTTTTAAATTTTTAATTGTTTATGTGCACTGGTGTTTTGCCACGGAGCTAGAGTTACAGACAGTTAGTTGTGAGCTGCCATGTGGGGCTAGGAATGGAACCCAGGACCTCTAGAAGATCAGCCAGTGCTCTTAACCACTGAGCCATCTCTCCAGTCCCAGACTCTTTCTTGAAACCCAGTCTGACAATTCAGGAAGAATGACAACGTAAAGATGGGGCAGGAGAGTGGGACTCATTGCTCCCCGGCTGAAACTTCATCCTTTCATTTTACTATTGACATTTTATTTCCCCCTTTCTTGGCTTTCCTGAACTCAGTTGCAGGCTCTGGAAAGGGTGCCACCTATCTTTTCAGACTAATCTCAAACACGAAGTCTTCAGGAAACGGGAGGAGGCCAAGCAGGAAGGTGTATTAGGAAATCTTTATAATTCCTTGACAATTATATTGATGGTTGTGTGTGTCAGTGTGTGCATGTGTGTATGTATGTACTTGTGTGTGGGGTCAGAGGACAACTTGTGGGGGACTGTTCTCTTCTTCCACCCTCTGAATCCTGGGAACGGAACTCAGGACATCAGTTGTGGCAAACAAATGTATTTCTTCCTGATTCACTTCACTGGCCCACCTTTGACAATGTCAGACATGCATATGTTTTGGTTATTTTTCTTATCCTCATTACCTCTCCAATCACCCCCCCCACTCCTTGTGAACTTTTTTTTTCCTAATAGGTCTCCCTTCCCTTTTTATTTTTGGGACAGGGTCTCCCCATGCAGCCTGGCTGTCCTTGAACTCACTGTGTGGACCAGGCTGGCCTCACAGAGACCCACCTGCCTCTGACCCCAGCGCTGGAACTAAAGGCTTGTGACACCGTACCCGACCTCGATCTTATTCTCACATCTCTTCTTTTTTACTTTTGTCACCCGTTGGAGTTTAATAAGGGTTGCTTGCATGAGTTTGTGTGTGCGTTGGGGGTGTGTATTGGGTGTTACTTAATGGAGCATGGGCAATGTATCAGTGCCCATTGGAAAAAAAAATGACTCCTCCTTCTCCAGTAACCATTAACTGCCCGCAGTGCTTCAGGGAGAAGAGCTGCATTTCTCTAGTAGAAGAATTAAGCAAGTACATTTAGATACTATTGGGTAAGCCACACTTCAAGGAAAAAGGAGTGACCTACCTAAGGTTGATCATGAAAATGGGAAGCTCCTAACTCCTTGAGCTGGGCAACTTCCAATCAGATTAGAAGCAGCCAAATTATCTGCAAACCTTACACTCTGACACCAATAAAAATCACTGCTATTTTAAAACCATGCCCAAGGCAGAGATGCACAATGAAGGGGCAACCCTTTTAAGATTAAACAGAAATTTAAAAAGCATATACATAAACATTGATTTTAAATGCTTTAAAATGTTTATTCATTGGTAGAATTTTATGATCACATTTTGCCATGTGACTCGTATGACTGAGTAAGAGTGCAAACCACTTAAAAAAAAACCTATGCAATATGCCAGTGGGAAAATAAAGCTATAAACTGGCCCATGGTGGTGCACACCTTTAATCCCAGCACTCAGGAAGCAGAGGCAGGAGATCTCTGAGTTCAAGGCCAGCTTGGTCTACAGAGTGAGTTCCAGGACAGGTTCCAAGCTACACAGAGAAACCCTGTCTCAAAAAAAAAAAAGACAAACAAAAACAAAACAACATCAACAACAATAAAAACCCAATCCTTACCTCTCCAACCCCCCAAAAACAAAACAAACCAGGCTGGTATCAAACTCACAGAGATCTGCCTGCCTCTGCCTCCTGAGTGCTGGGATTAAAGACATGCAACACCACCGCCCGGCACATGGTTTATTCTTAATATTTTACAACTGGAAAAGGTATTTTGCAACATAAATATCCTGCTTTCATTTCAGTCAGTACATTTATGTTGAAGAGTAGTAGCCTATCCTGCTTTCATCTCAGTCAGTACATTTATGTTGAAGAGTAGTAGCCGTCAGTACATTTATGTTGAAGAGTAGTAGCCGTCAGTACATTTATGTTGAAGAGTAGTAGCCGTCAGTACATTTATGTTGAAGAGTAGTAGCCGTCAGTACATTTATGTTGAAGAGTAGTAGCCTGTAGCAGTTTCTTGCTTCCGTTTGGTGTCTGTCCTAGCTATTTGTAAATACTGTATGCTCAGCTATCTACCAGATGTCACTCTCCTGTCCTGGGACAGAAGTAGGCAAGCTAGTATCCCTACCTCCCTGCTTCCTCTACCTTGCACTTGGGGACCCCTTCTTCCCAGATCTCTTGGGTATCTTCATTTTCCATTCCAGGTCCAAATGATATACTGGAAATGACACATAAGTTCTCTAGGAGTAAGGTTGCAGTTGCCATTACAGTTGTCATATAGAAGAGGAAAACAAAGGCATGGCATGTTTGAACTTGGTAGGGTATACATAAATCAACCAATAATTAGATATGGGCTCTGACAAGTTAAGTTTTATAGGAAAACCAAGGCACTATATTTGAAATCATGGTTACACTAGTCAATATAGAAGCATTCTCACCATACTTAAAACTATTTTTATTTCTAAAACTCTGGAGGTGATGGGATTTCAGAAATTATTTGAACGAGGAGGGCAGGGAAAACCTAGGATGTACACCCAGTAGTTAGGTGTGGGTACAAAGCAGAGTAAGACAAGTGGACATTTAGTAAAACGTGTGGCCAAAATTCAACTATCTAAATCTAAAAAATTCTTTTTCAATGCTTTTGGTTGCAGAAATCGAGTAAATTAATAAGAGTTACTATGTATCCATGATACAGCCTTTTAACACATTTCATATAATTTAATCTTTATACAGGTTCCCAGGAAACTAGGAGAAAATCGTGGTATGTCCTCAAAACGACACATCTTTCCGTGGTGGACAGGATGGACTAGACGGTAAAGGAACTTGATGCCATGGCTGAGTTCCCTTTCCAACCGGGGAATCCACCGTGTGAAGAGACACCTGGTTACCCTCTGGCTCCCTTTGACCCCTTTTCGAACTCACAACAAAATACAATGTATCAACTGCCAATTTGCAGTCTGAGTTCGAGGGACTCTAGCCATAGAAAAGCACCGGCTGATTAGAGTAGTGCCTGTTCAGAGTAGGGTACCGCTGGAATCACTCCACAGGAGGTCTGCAAACCTGGGGGGCGGGGATGACCTGAGGGTGATAACTCAAACTTGTAAACCCCGCACTTGCGAGGCCGAGGCCCGATTACCCAAAACCCAGAGCAAAAACCAATCTAGCGGCTAATCCTTTTTTAAAAACTTTTTAAACTTTTTAAAAACAAAAGTTATTTCAATTTTCTCAAACCCAGACTTTTATTAATCTTATTTTAATGAATCACGGCAGTTTATCCTGTTACTCAGGTCGTGTATTACAATACGATCATTCGTGGGCTGTTTCTGATTTTACAAAACCTCAAGCCAAGAAACGGATCAGTATTGCTAGCAAATGATTTCAGAAGCAACGCCGCTTTTTCCTGCGATCCGTTGGCTTCGGCGCAGCTAGGTGCTCCCACGACCCGGTTTCCACCCTAGAGTGAAATCCAGGCTGGCTCTCGGGACCAGCAAGCAGAGCTGGGGAGCTTTAGGCCAGGCCTGGGGGGGTGAGGTGACCGCGCGCCCGGGGCTGGCCTCGTTTACATTTGAATTTCCCTGAACGGTCAGCAGCGGGAGGCGGCGCGGACCCGCCCCGGAAACCTCTGGCTCTTTCCCGCCACTCGCAGGCCCGGCCCTTCCAGGGGCCCCTAGGGGGCCCCCGCGACAGTCGGCGGACGCTGGGCTCCAGGCGGAGGAACGAGCAGTTCGGGGGCGCCCGCCCCTCCCCACCACGCCCCAAGCCGGAGCGCGAGGCCGACGGTTGCCCGAGGCTCAGATTTTGAATTTCCAGGCCGGGCTCCCCCCCGCTCCCCACCCCGCCTCCACCCCGCCCTCCGAGCCGCAGGGGCGCGCCGCCCGCTCGCCATTGGCCGGCGGCGGTCACGTGGCCGAGGGCGCTCCGCCATGTTGCGGAGCGCGGCCCGTGCCACCTCCGCCCCCCGCGCCTCGCCTCCCGCCCGCCCGTCGCCGCCCTCCTCCCTGGCCCGCCCGCCGCTCGCAGCAGCTCGAGGAGGAGAGGAAACAAAGTGCAGCGGGCGGGAGACTCGCGTCCGCGGCGCGCACCCTCTCGGCCCCCGGGCTGCCCCGGCCTCTTCCCGCGCGCTTGGGCGAGCGTGCGTGTGCACTCACAAAAGGGCGCCTGGCCGGCGGCCGCTCTCCCCGCCGCCCTCCCGCTTCGCCGATCTTTGTGCGGTAGCCGCCGCCGCCGCCGCCGTCCCGGGTTTGTACCTTGCATCCCGCCGCCCGCCATGGCCACCGCGACCCCCGTGCAGCCGCGGGCGGGCAGCCGCGCCAGCGCCCCCGCCACGCCGCTCAGCCCCACGCGCCTGTCGCGGCTGCAGGAGAAGGAGGAGCTGCGCGAGCTCAACGACCGCCTGGCCGTCTACATCGACAAGGTGCGCAGCCTGGAGACGGAGAACAGCGCGCTGCAGCTGCAGGTGACCGAGCGCGAGGAGGTGCGCGGCCGGGAGCTCACCGGCCTCAAGGCGCTCTACGAGACCGAGCTGGCCGACGCGCGCCGCGCCCTCGACGACACGGCCCGGGAGCGCGCCAAGCTCCAGATCGAGCTGGGCAAGTTCAAGGCCGAGCACGACCAGCTGCTGCTCAAGTGAGTACGGGCTGGATCGGCACCGCTCCCGGGGTCGGGGACGGCGCAGGCCGGGTGGGTGGGCGCCTGGTCCTTCCGTAGGGGACAGTGTCTTGAAAGCAGAGGGGGTAGGTAGTGATTTGGAGCTCAACGGGGGGGTCTCTCGGAGGGTACTCGAGCTGTAGAGACGGTGGGGATCGTGGCTATCATTTCTAGGTGTCTGGGTCAAATGTGTGGTCCGGGACTTGACCTCGGACCCCAGATTCCCCCATCTGCAGGCCCCGGGTGCGGGGAGCTGGTGCCACTGCGCGCGCTCGAGTGCGCGCCCCGGTTTCCGGCGGGTGGGAGACAAAGCATCTGGTGGGTTTGCTGGGCCGGGGCGGCTGGGCCCCGTGGACTCGCCAATCGCCAGAAGAATGAATGAGTTCTAGGCGGGCGGAGGAAGGGGAGGGACCGGCCCCGAGCGTCCGCGGCTCCCGGGGGTGGGCCTTGCTTTGGCGCGCTCAGTCTCGGCCCTGTGACATTTTGCCAGCCATCTGCGCCTGCCTTCCCCGCGCGGGAAGGGCGGGGACTGAGCTGCACGCCTTCGGCCTAGGGCTAGCTGGGTTTCCTAGCTGGAGAGTTTGCTTTGCAGTCGGATGTCCTCTGGTGGCGCCCCGGGTTCTCGTGGGCCCTGAGCACCAGATTTCCTTAAACTGGGCTTTCGTAGGCCACGACCGTCAGTCAAGCCTTTGGGTCGCTTCAGTCCTATAAAATAGTCTTTTTCCTAGAGACTGTGCTGCGGACCCACAACCCGCATATGTGCGGTGTGTTGTGCAGCCAGCAGGCCACGGAAGATGTGTTTGAGTGAGGGAGAGCCTGTAATCCTAATGGGAATTGAGTTTTCAGACCGGGGTACATCTTTGTTGTCCTTTCCATGGGCTTCTGATGGGTAAAATGTATAACTCAGTTGTGTGCAACAAGTGCTGATGTCACGCTTTACATTTATTTAGAGATCTGTAAAATTCAGTCTGGAATTCATGGTCTTTTTTGGGGGGGTTGTCTGATTCAGATTTTGACCGATTGCCCTGAGATAGCTTTCTGTACTCTGAATCTCATTTCCCCGATTGCTTTTTTCTTTGGGAATGTATATATTACCTTATCAGATATATTAAAATGGATTGTAAAAGCGTATGTGGTAGCAATAAAACGATAGGTTGGTTTAGAATGAACATTTGCTTGTTTGCCATACAAAATGTTCCTGTTCTCCAGGCTGGCTCTTGGGGTCAAGTAATACTTACATGGTAACCAGGATTCGCAGGCATGCCCATCTATAGCATGTCTTCACTGCCTCTGCCTCATTATTTATTTTAAGCGGATGGGTGTTTTGCCTCCATGTGTGTCTGCACCACGTGTATTCCTGGTGCCCGTAGTGGCCAGAAGAGGGCGTCGATCCTCTGGAACTAGAGTTACTACTGACCACGTGGGTGCTGGGAATGGAATCTGGGTCCACCCGAAGAGCATCCATAGTGCTTCTAACCGCTGAGTCATCTTTCCAGCCCTGTTTGCTGTTTGAGACAAGAGCCTCACTGTAGCATTGCTGGCCTGGAGTTCTCTGTAGACCAGGCTGGTCTCCGGATTACAGAGATCCACCTGCCTCTGCCTCCTAACTGGGACCAAAGGTATTCGCTACTATGTTCAGAGTTCTACTGTCCCTCCTTTTTCCCTCTCCCTCTTCTTTGAGATGGATTTTTCAGATGCTGAAACTGGTCTTCATCTCCTGAACTTAAGCAGCTGTCCCTCCTTACCCTTCCCTGTGTCTGCCCTCAAAGCCATAACCTTTTATTTCTGTTTTTTGGATTTAACAACACTTGGGATCATCTTTTAAATAACTACTCATTCACTGATACTGTTTTCTCTGCATCTTCCTTTTTTTTAAAGACAGGACCTCAACTACATAGGCTCGGCTTGCCTCTGAGTTCTTAATGCTGGGATTAAAGGTGCACCTCACCTGCCAATTTTTTTCTTAGTGTATTTTTTCTCAGATTTTGTATGTCCCTGCTTGTAAATCTTGGTGATTATAGGGCTGGAGAGATGGCCCAGTGGTTAAGAGCACTGACTGCTCTTTCAGAGGACTTGGGTTCAATTCCTGGCACCCACTTGGCAGGGCACACCTGTCCGTTACTCCAGTTCCAGGGGATTGCATACCCTCACATAGACATACATTCAAACAAAACACCAGTGGGCATTAAAGAAAAATCTTTGGGGTTAGTATGTGTATCACTAAAAATAAAAATCAGGGCCAGCCCGTGTCTTGTACCCATTCTCAATTTCAGAGATGTTAAAATGTTAGGTGGATCAAACATCTGGTATGTATCAGTTACTATTTTGTGTGAAGTCACAGATTAAAAAAATAAAAAATACACAATGTCCTAATTTTAGAATACAGTGGGGGAGACTACACAGCAGACAAACAAAAATTGTCTTGTGTGGTCTGAGGCTTGATAATCTTTCTGGAGGATATCATTGGAGGTTTGCTACACAGCAGTAATACTGCCACCTGGCGGACAGTAGTTGTAAATGTTATGGATTAGTCACATGTTGGCTTCCGCAGAATTAAAAAGTGAAAAGAATGTAGGATTATTTATGTGCTTTAGAACAAATGGTGTAATTTAGGTGATAACCAGTGAAAGGAGGATAAAGTTGAACAGCAAAAGAATAGTACAGTCAAGGCATGCCTATTTTTTTGTTTGTTTGTTTGTTTTTCTCTGTATTGTCTTGGAGGCTGTCCTGGAACTCACTCTGTAGACCAGGCTGGCCTCGAACTCACAGAGATCCGCCTGCCTCTGCCTCCCAAGTGCTGGGATTAAAGGTGTGCGCCACCAATGCCCGGCAAGGCATGCCTATTCTTTTGAGGTGTCAAGTAGCATCTCAGGTTAATGTTTTTCTAGGTTTGTGCCACAGTATATATACTTGAAGTGTCAGGATTAAGTGTATTTTTAACGTCACAATTTTCTCAACATGCCAGTATTAGTTTCCTTTCATTTGAACTCTGTCCTGTCTTGTATGGTTTTGTTCTTAAGTTTATTACCTTCATATCTTGGGGACCTTTGAAGACATTTAATCACAATATCTGTAATACAAATCTACATTTTTTTCCGATTGTTTTTTCCCTGAGACAGGGTTTCTCTGTATAGACCAGGCTGGCCTAGAACTCAGAGACCCACCTGCCTCTGCCTTCCAAGTGCTGGGATTGAAGTGCTGCGACACCACCGCCTGGTACAAATCTACATTCTTACCTTGAACTCTGCTGTTTGTTTAAGATAAGGTATCACTCTCTATCCCTGCATGAGCTGGGGCTCGGAGAGCCTGTCTCTGCCTCCCAAGTGCTGGGATTCAAGGTGTGCATTACTACATCTTGCTTGGGAGCTCAGTGTTTTTTAAGATGTCTTGGTGGCTGATATGTTGGAGTTTATGATCCAGTTTCCTGGATCATATATTTTCCTTTGGTTTCATTAATCATTTGGAGACCACCTTTTAAGTAACTTATGCAGGAAGGGTGCCAGGGAATTGTCTGTGTGTCTGAGAGTAACTCTCATTTGATGGGTAGTTGGACAAGACTATTTTAACGTTTTGAGTGCATAGAAAGTGTCATTTTCCTAGCATTCATTGCTGCTGGTGTTTGCTGCTATTATTTCTTGTTGGCCCCTTGTCCTAGTGTGCTCTCTACTGTTGGGATAAGACAGGGACCAAAAGCAACTAGGAGGGGAGAGCGCTTATTTCACCTTGCACGTTACAGTCCATCCTGGAGTGAGGTTAGGGAACAGGAATCAAACCGACGCATGGAGCACTGCTTGCTGGTCTGCTTTCATGGCTTGTCAGAATGCTTGCCCTCTTGACCAGGGTGGCACGCGTCCAGTGAGCAGGGTCCTCCCACATCGGTCAGAAATGAAAATGCCCTCAATTGAGATTTCCTCTTTCTTCTCTGATGTAAGCTTGTGTCAAGTTGACATAAAGTGAGCCAGCACACTGCCTTCTCCTCCCCATTCTTAGAAAACTTGGAAATTTTGTTGCAGTTTCTGAAATTGCCAGCTTAGTAAGTGTCAGATAGTCTCTCATGTGACCCTGCTGTTCAGTGTTAAGTTCTTTCAGTTGAAAGGCTTGATTTTCTTTCCGTCTTCTCCTTCTCCTTCTCCTCCTTCTCCTCCTTCTTTTGGTTTTTTGAGACAGGGTTTCTCTGTATTGTTTTAGAGGCTGTCCTGGAACTCTGTAGACCAGGCTGACCTCGAATTCACAGAGATCCATTTACCTCTGCCTCCCTAGTGCTGGGATTAAAGGTGTGCGCCACCAGCACCCGGTGATTTCCTTATGGTTTAGTTCCTATGGTATTGAGCTTTGGGAAACCCGTGTTGCCACAGCCCTTTCCGTACTCTGTTCTCTGTTCTCTCTTGCCCCCCTCCACTCCCTGTTGAGGAATTGACTGTAGCTAGGAGCTGGCACAGCAGATAGGCCCCTCTTCCTTTTCTTCTTTACCGGGAAATTACCTTAAGTCTTTTCCAGCTTGATAACGACATGGATTTTATTATTTTATTTTTTGAGATAGGATCTCACTATAACCTTGGCTGGCCTGGAACTGGCTGTGTAGAACAGTCTGGCTGGCCTTGAATTTACATGGATCTGCCTGCCCCTGCTTCCCAAATGCTGGGACCAAAGGGTTGCACCATCGCCCATCCTATTTATTATTAGCGCTTGTGGATGGGGATTGTGGGTGCGAGTAGGGCTAGTGTGTGGAGGTCAGAGGCTAATTCTGAGGGTCCTGTTTCCCCTGGGTTCTGAAGGTTGCCAGACTTGCTAACAATCTTATCATCTGAGCCATCCCACCAGCCCAATAACCAGTTTTCCTTTTGTGATAGGGCCTCACTGTGTCACCTTGGCTAACCTGGAACTCTGTGTAGAAGAGGCTGGGATTAAAGGCTTGGGGTGCCACCATGCCCAGTATATTACTGTTTTTATTGGTGTCCTGGGAGAGGGATAATGATAGT